CCCCCCCCCCCCCCAGTTGAACGTCGTATCCCCTCCTTCCTCTGTCTTGGTTAACAAAGCCTTGATTGGCTTTAAAAGGATATTCAGTATGATCCCTCTGGATGGATTCTCTTTTTTGCACAAGGGGAGTGGCATGCCTTCTTTTCGATGTGTTTTGTACTGTTCCTTGCTTTTAGGTGCTCTTCAAGTCCCCAAATCTGCTTAGATCATTGGTCTAGAAGACCAAAGAATGCAGCGTAATTGAAGTTTGAGCCTCATTTAGTTTTTGAATGGTAGGCTAGAGGGGCCACACTTCAAAATGTGAGTGGAGCCAGGACGAAAGGAAACAAAAGATAAAGAAATACTTAATTAAAATTCAGTTCACTTAATTTAATAATTTTCCCCATCTGCCACACTGACGGTTACAATTTGCTGCCAGTTTTGAAGGAAGGCTGGAGGCTTCATAAAGGGCTTCATGGAACAGCATGCAGCTTTGAGACCTCAGCTTCTCCACCTTGGAGCATACAAGGCGGAAATTGCTTCGAAGCAAATGCTGAAAAGTATGATGATGTAGTCTTTTGGGAGAAGAGAAGTAGATGCAATCCTGAAGCCTCCTCTGAACCCTCTTAAGATTGCCTTCTGCAGTAGAGAAAATACTATCTCATGACCAGGGATAGGCCAATCAACTTCAGGGCATGGGAAAGATAGATGACACCACTGGTTCTTCATCTCATGCAGAAAACTATCTTGGTTGCCCTTGTCATGATTTGTTATGTTCTCTTCCAAAAACATCATTCCATGTTTTAGCTTCAAACACCTTTCCTCCAAAAACTTCCCATCTCCTGGTCTTGGATACAAATCCTAGGGCCTACGATCCCCATTTCAGTTGTGAATTACTTTCTGCACCTAACATGAAACGATCTATCTCCACGCATGGCATTATATTTATAAACCTGTGATTAAAAAGTCCTGCCTGGGATCCATGTCCCCGGCTCCTTCTGAACTTGACAAATGATTTATCTTGGGATTGATATACACAACCCATCCCTGTTGCAGCAATAAAATAAAATAACAAATGAAGACTTTTGAAGTGGGGGGGGGGGGGGACTACCGGGCCAATAATAGGCTATGGCATCTTTCCAATCATTGGCTGCATCAGTTCAGAATATATTTCCAGTGTCCTTACAAAGCTTAGCTTTCTGACCAGCCAGGGAGAAGCACACACTCGCCTGGGTCTCTCTACGTGCTGTTTGCCTGTAGCCTTCCTGTGATTGATTTTAAACACAGAAGTAACAATAATCCCCAGAAAAGACTGCTGGAGCTTTATTACACCGGATTACCTGGTGTCCTTTTTCATTCTCTTCTCCTCATAAAAGCTCACTGAATATATATGTTTATTAGGCTTCTAAAAAGGATGTTAAATGTAACTTTATCTAGCATGAGATGGCTTCATGCAGTAGTTTCTTTAAGAAAAGAAAGATGTCACCATGACAACGGGCTTTTTCCCTGCCGATCATCCTTACATCAAAGTACGGTAAGGGAAGCTTGGAAAATTTAATGTTAGTCTTTGCTCCCAGCCCGTCACAAGCTTGGAGTCACAAGGGGTGGTGGACACTTAGACCAGCTTCAAAAGAGAGTTTTTAGTGGATGTTAGCCATGATCCCTAGTGGAACCTTCAGAGTAAAGGTAGAGGACTCTAGAGCAGTGTTTCTCAACCTCAGGAACTTTAAGATGGGTGGACTTCAACTCCCAGAATTCCCCCAGCCAGCATGCTGGCTGGGGGAATTCTGGGCATTGAAGTCCACCCATCTTAAAGTTCCTGAGGTTGAGAAACACTGCTCTAGAAATTAATTATTGGGCACGGGCAACTGATAGCTTATGTCTGGAATGAACAATAACAACCCATATTTGGGAGAAGTATTTTTGCCAGCCACCAAAGCAGGATGTGAGACCCTATGGTGTAGAAAAAAGGCAGTTTTTTCCTGTTATTGTTTGAAGTTCAGTCTTTCAAAAGGGTGAATACTCCCTCCAGCAACTTCTCAGATGGTGGCTTCTCTTGGGCAAGTGTTTCGAAATTCTCATTCCTCAAATTGGCTGAGAATGTGTAGAAAAAATACAGGAGAATTTCTCTGCCTGGTGCCAGTTTTTTGCTGCAAAGCTTTGGGAAGCAGAATCTCCAGAGGGTGCAAAAGAATCGCAAAGGGGGAAATGTGAAGGCTGTATGCAGCCATGCTCATTCTTACCTTTTAAGCTTGCTTGTGATCTTTCCAGAGGTTCAGGCCAACCAGAATGCTGAGTCAGGTGGTTGCCTGGTGTGATCTAGCAAACCTCTTCTAGGTTTAAGTAGGCGTGGCATAAAATATCTTAAATTTCTGGACAGTTCTGCTGTGCTGTACAGATTTGGCATTAGAAAACAACTGTGACTACACAAATCCAGTTTGGCCAGTGAAGGTGAAACGTGTAGCCTCTGACAAGGATCTAAAACTTGCTTGAAAACACTAAGACAGCCTTCCCCATTTTTTTGCCCTCCAGATGGAGTGTTTGTTAGTTCTTACAATGCCAGGCTGTGGATTACACATATTATACCCAACACTTCTGCAAAGTCCAGGCTGGTGAAGGTGAGGTGGCCCAGAGCGAGAAGTCTCTGAAAGTACCATAATCTCACTATAGGCTACCGCTACCACTAATTCACCAATATATGGAATTCACCAATATATGCTTCCAGCTTCTGTGCAAACTGCAAACATATTTATATTAAAGTTTAAAAAAAGAAAAAGAACATTATGCTTTTGTATTGTTCTTAAATGTTGTAAGCCACCCAGAGTCACTGTTGTGGCCACATAAACCCAATAAATAAACCAACCAACGTGTGAAACAATGGACATGTCTTGGTGAAGGGGAAAAGTGAACTGAAAGCATAAAACGCCCCAAACCATCTGACGTGCTCCGTATTGCTCCTCGCAGGCTGACCTCTTGACCACACCCACCTTCGCATTCTGGCTGAGTGCCGCTCCACGATCCGTTGGCCTGACACATTCTTTGCAGCGAGCCTCGGAGCGTGTAACCTGGCTCACAGCTAAACCAGACCGTGCTGTTCACGCTTAATTCGTTTTCACCATGCCGGATACCGTGAGAAGGGATTCCTGGGTCGCCACACAGCCCCTGGATGCTGCCTGCCGAAGGAAAGTGGAAGTCCTGTCATTGGAGCAAGCCATGCTATCCTCATCTCTCCTCTGCCCCTTGGCAGAGAGGGCCGTTCACCGGTAGCTCTGATGGAGGACCTGATAGAAACTGAAAGGAAATGGAGACAAGGAAACTGGCCCAGCAAAACCATTTGGGGATGGAGAAGAAAGGAAATGGGTTTCCAGATGTAAGAAGAATAGGGAGGAGCAGAGCAGAGCAGAGCAGAGCAGGCAAGGTGTCAGCGTCAGGAGATGGGGCCCATCTGGGGCCTGGAAAGTAACCCAATAACCTTTGAAAATACAGAAGTGTTACACTGCTGGAAAGTGATTGCTCAGGCAGACATCTGTATATACTTCAGTGTAACTAAGTAATGTGTTTTGACAGTGTCTGTGTGTGCGTGTGTGTGTGCAATGTCTCTGTGTGTGTGTGTGTGCTTTCCCTTCTGTTGGGCCTGAATGCGTAGCTCTGCTACGAAGAGCGCCAAGTGGACTGTAGACACTCCACTCTGAGTCATGAGGCCAGGAGGGAGGATGGTGCAGAATGGAGCAGTTGGTGCAGTGATCTGCAGCCCAACTGCCTTTCCTTCAGGGATGCACAGGGGCATTTGGGGGGAACGTTTTCTCTGCAGCCCAAAGCCAGATTCCACCCATCTTTTTTTCCCATCTCACCATACCAAGTTTGGTCCTGTTCTGCTCAGGATTTGGAGAGTTATGCGAGAGACAGAGGTGGCCTTCTGAGATACGGTTCGGAGCCCCTTTACAAGTTTGCTCTCCAGCATTCCATTGGGTTGGAAAGACTACGAGAGACCAGAAGCTGAGGACTTTTCCTCACACTTCTAGATCCAAAACATCATTTCTCAGGAATTTGGGATGTGCCAACCCAGGGATGCTCATTGTTTGTTTAATACCTTTATTTAATACCAATGGTAACAAATCTAGGCAGCAGTTGAAAGCAGCAATAGCATTTATTGAAAATGTCAATTAAAAGCAAGGATAAAAGTGTAGATGTAACCAATAAAAGAAGTAGTAAGGAAGTAGTAGAGAAGCCACTAAGCGGTTTTGGAGCAGAGCAAATAATGCAAACCAACCAATAAATCAATAATACACAGAATAAAATAAGATAAAGAGCAAGACAGCAGTTCAGCATTCCCTAGAATGGGGCTCTGCAGCTCTCATAATGCTTAGCTGTAGGTCCAGGCACTTCTAGAAAGCATCAAGTTGTCAAAATGAACTTCCTTTGGCCAACACATCCGTACATTCTAGTGTACTCCTGGTCCAGGTTACATCCTATACTGAGTCCTACATTCGGACTGTGGACCTTTCTCCATCCCTGTTTCTGCGCTTTTGTGGAATGTATGTCACCACAGATACGTGATATCAGTAGTTCAAGCAACAAATCTCTCTATAAAAAAAATCTCTCGAGTAACCCTTGGTACCATCCCAAGCAGATGTACAGAGCAACAACTATCCCTGTTTACATATTTTTCATTTGGTTTGGTTTGCCAATTCTGGTCTGTTTCAAACTGGAAATTACAGGGTGCTTCAAAGCCACCTGTTACCTTTGTGGAAACAGAGCTGTGGGCTTTGTTGGGAAGCCAGTGGAGAAAGCAGTGCTCCAGTGAGCCAGTAAGTCATTTCCTCTGCTGTTCAGAGGGGAGTGTGGTGACAAGGAGGCCATCTTGAAGGGGCGATTTGACAGCTGGAATGGTGCCTGCTCCTTTTCTTATGTGGTGGCCATCTGTTCTTGCCTCTTTCCACCAACCAGTTTTTTTAAACATGCAGCTCTCCAAATCAGGCCTGGTGCATTGCTCGTGCGGGAGACACAATGATTTTTTTCCCCCATCTCAATTCCTTTTAATTGGACATGTAGGGGATTGAGTTATACATCTTCCCCACGTAAAGCATTACCAATGGGGCACCTATTTTCCTCCAAAGCAACTTTGCAGATCATTTTTCTGACTGAATATCTAGTGACACCTTTTTTTTTTTAAAATACCCTTTTATGAAAAGATTTTTCTTGTAAACAAAGAAGGAGGTGCACCTCCAAGTCTTTAATGTACGAGTGCTGGCATGAAGAAGTGATGCAAAATTAACTAGATCTCAAACCCTGCTGTGAAACTTTCCACAGCCCACATCACATGCAGAATAATTTACTTATTTAACAGTAGAAAACCTTCCGATTTCAAGATCTTTAATTGCAGCCCAAAGTGAACTGAGCAGCTGGCAAATCCAGTGTTTCACTGACTGAGACTCATTTTGATCACCAAAGAACTCAGGCAAAAGACAGAGATGGGACAGATGCTTCCAAGGGTCATGTCAGGGTAGAGAAGACACAGCCAGAATTGGGCTTGTCTTAGGTTCTTAGGTACACCTATACCTGAATTTAGATACTTTTAGAAGGGATTCAGCACACCAGACTGTCCACAGCTGTTGCCTGTCACAGCTGCACAGGGGGGCCCAGTTTGGGGAGAGAAGCACTATTCTCTAAGATAAAATGTCATTGAATATTAACTATGAGAGGAAGGAAAAAATGGGAGTTGCAAGAGAACACACAGAGTTCTTGCCTCTTTTGTAAGCATGCAGCTTTTCCGGCCTGGTGCATTGCTTGTGTGGGAGACTCAATGATTTTTTATGATATTCTCACAATGATATTCCCTTCAGACATACCCATATTTTTTTTTCAAGCAGCTTCAGGAAAACAGTGGACTAGATATTGAGCCAGATAACCCCTTGACCTGATCCTAAATCTGGCCTTGACTGAAAATGTTATGAATCCTAGTCCACATTGTTCCAGGATGATAACTCCACACTTAAAGGCTGTGTCATGTATCAAATACGAGAGCCTAACAAGAGCCCTTTTGGAGCTGATGAAGGGACCTTCCTTGTTGTTTGATTCACGTTTTGGGGAAATCCACATGGTGAACACAATAACTTTTGAAGGAGAAATGTCCTTCTAAACTAGTCTTCCCCAGCTCGCAAACCCAACTGCTAATGTGGCTATGCTGGCTGAGGATTAACAGAGCTGACATCTGACTCATCTGAAAAGCATAAGATGGCCAAAGACTCCACTTAAAAAAATGTAACGGACAGAAGTCAGCAAAGTTCTACCCTAAGCTGTTTTCTCCTATGCTATGTAGGGTGCTTTACTTATACTGAAAATATATGTGCTGCACAAATTATGAATCAGTCCTATAGTGAAGTCTTCTGCCCTCTTATTTGTAAAACTGCCTGCCTGAAACTTTTAATTAATTAAGAAATGGGCTTTGGCTGTTAGCTTGTTCCTGAATGGGTTGCTAAATATCTGGAAAGTTGAGATTTATAACTGTGCCTGGTATGAAATCTGATAGAAGTCACACAGAAAAAACACAACCTCTTGAAGGTGTCCCCAACAGCTACCAGAAATGGACCATGCCTACTGCAAATCATATTTTCTTCCAAATCCAGATTGTTGCACGGCTTTACCAAGCAATGCTATTTTAGGAGATGAGAATAAATCAATCCATATGGCCCCCTTTGGTACCCACCTCTTTTGCTGCTCGGTTTTCTTACCTGAGCAATGAGGTAGAGAGCCACTCCAACGCCCATCAAGCTGACACATGCGGGTGGAATTGCCAATCAAGCTCCTGCCTTCTTGGCAGCTGTAGCGCACCACTGCACCTACGGTGTGGACATCACCCAAGATCTGGGCATAAGGTGGGGATCCAGGATGGCCACAGGAGACCACTGAAACAAGGGAACAAGAAGTTTTCAGTTCAACCTATAAAGGGGTGCACTCTATCATCCATCCATCCATCCATCCATCCATCCATCCATCCATCCATCTATCCATCTAT